TGGCTGCCTCCTGCACACGCCCCAACTGGGGATCAAACCCACAACCTGGGTATGTGCTCTGACTGGGAATAGAACCTGTGACTTTTTGGTGAATGGGACGACACTCCAACCACCTCAGCCACAGGGACCAGGGCTATTTTTGATTTTTATAGGAGGTTATTTGAGCCAAACTGATGACATATGCCAGGGAGCAAGATCTCAAATGCTCTCGACATATCTTTTTATAATACCTAAGGGGCAGGTGGTACTGCATGTAGAGATTGAGGATTGATTTTGTGAGCCCGAGGCTGCCACAGGCTTTATACCATTGGCCTGAGTACATACTCACATCCCAGGGCAGTCTGTTGATATGAGGCAAGGAAAAAAATTGCTTTTTAAAAAAACAATTAATTTTTTAAAAAACAATTAATTTTTACTTATTTATAAACTCATCTCTCAAAGTTCAGACAGGACTGGAAAGTATGTGACCTCCCCGCATCCCAGAATGTAGGCAACCATTGCTGAGTCTCTCACCCTCCTCACAGCAATTTTCTATACATGAGCAAACGCATAATTTGTTTCTATTTTAATTCAAATGATGTCATGCTGTATATATATTGTTATGGCATTTTTAAAAAACATACATACCTTTAGGTCTAGAATGTACTCTCATGGCAGCATATAGAGCTCCATTTTATTCTTTTCCATTTCTTTTATTGATTGATTTTTTATTTTATTTTTTAGAGAGAGGAGGAGAGGGTGAGAGAGAAACCTCAATTTATTGTTCCACTTATTTATACATTCATTGGTTGATTCTTGTATGTGCCCTGACTGGGGATCAAACCCACAACCTTGGTGTATCAGGACGGTGCTCTAACCAACTGAGCTACCTGGCCAGGTAACTGCTCCATAGCATCCTTTTGAGTGGCAGACCATGATTGACTAACCCCATATGACAATCATTTCCAAATAGACTATAACTAAAATTAAAAATTCTACTAGAATTTTTGAGTACTAAAACATTTTTTTATTAATCCTCATCCGATGATATTTTTCCATTGATTTTTTTTTTTTTTCTAGAGAGTGGAAGGGAGAGGGAGAGACAGAAAAACATCAATGTGAGAGAGACACGGGCCCTGACCAACCAGGGCAGGGGGGATTGAGCCTGCAGCTGGATACATTCCCTTGACTGGAATCGAACCTGGGACCCTTCAGTACACAGGCAGACGATCTACCCACTGAGCCAAATTGGCTGGAGCAATGTGGTGGCCTTTAAAAGGCTAGAGTAGGGATAGTGCAGGCATCAGATTTACTGAAGGTGGACACGGTGTAGGGTCCCATCCTGCCATCATCACAATAGAATGGCGATGGCTACCATTAGCACATCCTCCACCCATCTGGGTGTTTCATGGGTCACATCCAGGCTCTCTGGGTGGCACAACTCCAGGGCATGTTCACATAGTGAATGGACAATGCAGGGAGGAGTGAGATTCCCACAGACTCCCACAACTGGACCCTAGAGCTCTGCGTTGCCAGGACCCTGGTCCTGTTTTGGTGATAGTCCCTACAGGGTTGCGCCATAACCTCCACGTGTGTGTCTGTTTGCCATCTTTCCAGACTCCACACTTACTAAACTTTGATCCTCAGTGCCTAGTACAGCGCCTGGCACACAATTGGGTCTCCAAGGTGCTGGCTAATTGAATGAATAAACATGTCTGCAGGAGCTGGTGGGCCTCCGAAGGTGGCAGTGGTGTGTATCTCTGTGTAAATGTCAGGCGTTAGGCTGGCCTTGTGTGGGGCTGCTGCCCAAAGGCTCAGCTGGGCAGGCGGAGAGGTGCCCGGCAGGCAGACCTCCTGTCTTCTTCTTTCCTCTACCCACTGCCTCCTAAGGCCTCTCTCTGCTGTCCCCTCTCGCTCTGACTTTATGTAGGACTCACTGTCCTCTCCTGAACTCCCTCCCACCCGCAGCATGAGGGGCCTTTCCCTAAATATTCTGGGAATAACTGTCTCCATCTCACACAAGGGCGAGCGGATGTGTGAGATGGAGACAGTTGTTCCCCAGAATATTTCTCCCAGGGAAGGTGGCATCTGCAGGTCAGCCACTGACTTGTGTGTGGTTCGAAAGGGTCTGGCTGAACCCCAAAGTGATAGTTTAGAAAAATGGTGACTGGCTATTAATGATTAAAGAAACTAATTGTGTATGTGTGTGTGGGAGGAGGGGAGGGGTGCAAGGCGAATGGGGTGGGGAAAGGAAATTAAATGGACAACAAAAGCCAGACAGAATACCATTTTATTCATTTATTAATTTTCTTCCATTTATTTATATAACAGATTTTAGACAGGCTCAGGACTCGCAACCTCTGTGAGGTGAAGAAATTCTCTGAGACGCTGAGGGAAGTAGACTCCTCTCACAGAAGCACCCTTACGTGCACCGAAGTCGTGCATGCCATTTGGGGCTTCACCAGTTGCCTGAGACTCCACAAGTTCCTCGGCTCTTTGTCTGCAGGGGCGGAGGAGGGAGGATATCCTAGAGGTATCTGACTTCTTGAAAGACTATTACCACATTATAATTACTTTCCCCCTCAAAAGCTAATTAAAGCACCCACAAAGCATTGAAATTTACTGAGTTGGGTCGAGTCACAATGCATAGAAGAATCTGTTGCCAGAAGCACATGAATGCCAGGTGAAGATTAGGAAAACCTTATAAGAGAGATAAAAGGCATAGT